AAAGAAATGGTATCTATGTCACCAAGGCTACTGCTGTCCTATCTGACCCTGCACAAGCATCTACTGCTAATATTGATGCCACTCTAAAGTGGCACAATAGACTAGCCTATATAAGTGAGAAAGGCCAGCAAATCCTATATAAGAAAGGGAATTTTGGAAAGGACACTATTTTAAAAGTGCCTTTATGTGAATACTGCACTTTAGGCAAACACCAAAGGTTATACTTAACATCGGAAAACACAAAACTACCTCCATTTTTTAATATATTCACTCGGATCTTTGGGGCCCTTCATCAACTATCACTCAAGGAGGAAAGAAATATTTCCTATGCTTGATTGATGATTTTTCAAGAAAAGTATGGGTTTTCTTATTGAATCAAAAATCTGACACTTATAAAAATTTTAAAACTTGGAAGACTTTGATTGAAAATCAGATTGGAAAGAAACTTACAATCATCAGGATTGATAATGGCATGGAATTCTGTAACACAAGATTTGACCGTTTAAAAAGAAAATGAGATTTTAAGACATAAAATTGTCCATTATACTCCACAGTAAAATGTAGTTGAAAAATTGAATAGAACCCTTTTAGATAAAGTCAGGTGTATGATTATTAATTCTGGACTTCCTAAGGTCCTATGGGGTGATGCTGTAATGACAACAACTTATATTGTTAACAGAACACCCTTCAGTCATTTTGAAGGAAAAATGCCTGATGAGATATGGTTTGGAAAAACTCCTGACTATTCTCAATAAAAAAAACTTTTGGTCGTGCTACTTATCCTCATCAAAATGTTGGTAAGCTTAAGCGAAGATCTTTAAGATGTGTTTTTATGGGCTATCATGTTGTTGTAAAGGGTTATAGACTTTGGTCTAGAGAGTCTAAGGGTTTTAAGATGATAAATGCCCTATATGGAGACTAGGGGTGATGAATTTTGTCTCTAGTAGAAGAGACTCTGGTGGAAGAGAAGAAAATAGTACCAAGCTGAGGTGGAGTTTGGCACCTCTTCTGATTTCATTAATGAAAATCAGAATGAGAATGGAATTCAAGAGATGGATGAAACAAGTGAAAATGTAGAAAGTGAAGTTCAAGATAGTAATAGGGATCAGAGTGTTGTTGCTCGATAAATTGCTTATTGCAAAAGTCAAAAAGGTTTGCTGCTGGATTTCGATGCTATTCAATAAATTTCAAATCCTAAGCTCTATATAAATCTACCATATAAACCCAGCTCAATTATCCAAAACCTAACAGCTAAGTCCATATATTCAACCAACTCATTACCCATACATATAGACTTGTCAAGATGGGCGGGCTTGGCTGGAGGTGAACTGGCCAGTGATTAGGCCTATGAACCGTGTGGGCCATATCAAGGGTTGCCCGGACCGGTTCAAGGTGTACCAAGCGGTCCAAGCCAGCGGCTAACCACTGACCCTGTTTATAAAAAAAATTAATAGCGCATGCAGCAGGCTCTGCTGCAGCTGCAGTCAGAACGGTCACAAGACCGTTCTGACTGCAG